TAATTTTCCCCATTTTACAAGAGCAGGGGATTTGAGGCTTAGGGAGATAGGGTTAGTAAGTGCCAGAGCTAAAATTCAAACCTGTTTTGTCTGACCTCAGAGCTGGAACACTAAATTGTTACCACGGTGCTGCAGCATGTTGGTGTTTATCTGCTGTTTATCTACTTGGTAAGGATTCATTAAAAATGTATTTCTTAAGGACTATATCAAGTTATAAGAGCAAATTAGAAATCATAACTATGTGATAGATTCATTCAACAAACATTAGGCCTAGATCACCTCATAGGCACTGTGCTACATATAGGAGAGAAAATAAAGTAGATGTCATCCTTGTCAGCAGAAGTTTTATAGTTTGGTAGTGGAGATGGAATAGGGGTAATAAAGTGGTACAGTTGCTATGGTGCATTTTGACGTTGTGTATACAGGGAGGAGTCAAAGAAAGAGGGCAGGCTGTTCATCTTTGAAATTATCTGTATCTGAAGTCTAGAATTCTTTGAAACACCCAAATTATTACTTTCACTTGGGTCGTATTTTTTCATATATGGACCACTTGGATAATTGGAGATCTGTTTTCCCCCCTTTTTCCCCTATCTGTCCTATTCACAGTATTATCAGTATAAAATTGGAAGTGACCTTGGAGATAGTAAGTCCTACCCCTTTATTGCACAAATGGTTTAAGACAAGAATCAGCAAACTATATAGCTCTTGGGCCAAAGCTGGCTTGCAAGCTAAAAATTTTACATTTTTTTAAAAGGTTGAAAAAATCCAAAGAATAATATTTTGTGATGTGGAAGTTGTGTAAAATTCAAATTTTGTTATTCACAAAGAAACTTTTATTGGCGCGCAGCCACCATTCATTCTCACCTGGCTATTCTAGTATTACTGTGCCTGAGTTGAGCAGTTGTGCCTTATTGTTACCTGAAAATGGGGTTTGCATCTTGGTGGGTGTCGAGCTAAAAGTCACAACCAAGCCAAAGATGGGGAGAAGGAAGGGACTTATTACTTGCCGTGAGTAAGGAGAACACTGGGGATCTTTCCCAAAGCAGTGTCTCCCTAAAAAGCAAAGTTGCGGAAGTTTTAAGCTAAAGTTACATGCGTATTTATAAGGGGCTTGAGCCCAGGAGAAGTCAGTATAAAATTGGGGCCAAGGTAGACAGAGTCCAAGCTTTAGCTGATTGGAGTCACAATGGTCAACCTCCACCTGGGTGCAAAACTCCAAGGCTGTATCAGATTGTTAAGTATATCCCTTCAGGAGGAACTAGGACTCGGTTTTTATCACTGAACTGTTGTTTCTTGGCTGCTGTTCCTTTGTTCCTGCATTCCCTTACTTCCCTTAAGATCATTGATAACTGAGACCTGTTCAAGGGCAGGTATTGTGGCCATACTTAGATCTTAAAATGGCTTAGGTATAAAAATGGCATCTCTTATGTCAAGAAAGCCATTCTTGATTCTCTTTCTCCTGGGACCCCCGTACCCTATCTGCTTACAATATGTCCTACAAACCCTAAAATATTTACTATCTGACCCCTTACAGAAAAAGTGTGTTGACTCCTGAATTAAGAGATTGTGATTTTTTTTTAGGGCTACCAGCAAAACCAGGAATAGAACCCACGTTTCTAAATTTAGTGCTTTTCCTGCTATTTCACTGTAAGAATCTTAGTGTAATCTCTAATGTCAGTGTTTATCATGACCTTAATTTTTTTAATTAAAAAAATTTTTAAAAAAAGTTACACAGCAAAAAAATATATATATAAAAAAATTTTTTATGATGTCCTTTTATTTATTTTGGGGGAGAGGTAATTAGGTGTATCTATTTATTTATTTATTCTTAGAGGAGGTACTGGGGATTGAACCTGGGACCTCATGCATGCTAAGCATGTGCTCTAGCACTTGAGCTATATCCTGCCCTCTTCATGAGCTTAATTTTTTAAACGTTTTATAAAATCTAAAAGGGAATAGTTTCTTGTGTGTCCTTCTAGAGCTGCTCTGTGCACATAAGTATAAACTTATTTTTTTAATTATAAATCTTAGCACACTGTGTACCTTGTTCTGCATTCCCCCAACACACAC